TCACTCAGACCCTGTGATATTGAATGGCCAGGGGTCACTCAGACCCTGTGTTACAGAAAGACCAGGGGTCACTCAGACCCAGTGATATTGAATGACTGGGGTCACTCAGACCCTGTGATACAGAATGACCAGGGGTCACTCAGACCCTGTGATACTGAATGGCCAGGGTTCACTCAGACCCTGTGATATAGACTGACCAGGGGTCACTCAGACCCTGTGATATAGACTGACTGATGATCATTACAGACTAAAATAAGCAGACTTGTGCAGACTGAGTTTGTAACAGGATCAGTTGTTTCTCACCGTTCTGATCAAAAAGGTTTGGAGAGTTTCACTGTTTTAATTGCTGCCTCTAAAATGTCTCTTCCCTGATCACACAGTGTTCCCTCTGGAAAGTGAGTCTCTCTTGGAGCACTCTGCTTTCTTGTGATGTTTGAAATGGAAAGCAATCAGCAACGGAAGATACACAGTGAGATTTACTGCAAACAGCTCACCAGCTCCTCCCCACACACCTCCGGGTTCACTGTATGTAAACATTGACTGATCAGCCTGCACCTCCCAATGGGATCATTGGGACCGATTGACCCAGAGTATCCCCCTGTGAGGAACTGTGATAGCACTACACCAGGCTTTGTCCAGCTGACAAACTCCTCACCAGTAGGAAATTCCAAAGCCTTAAATTCATGGGGGAAACAAGGCAGGAGAGTTGAGCAAGGGACCATCAGATCAGCCACAAAGGGCGAAACAAATGGGCTGAATGGCCCACTTCTACTTCAACGTCTTATGGTCCTCCATCCTCAAATATACGCCCCTGTCTGAAGTCCGTGCCTTTCATTTCTGTTCATGTTGCTCAGAAGGTCCGTAGGTGCTGGTCACTGGGTTTTCTTATTGGTGCGACTGGAATTGGTGATGCTATTTCTGTCAGGCTTCACGACCAGTGGGGCCAGGTCTGACAGTGTGTGGGAGGAGCATTCACTTTCTGTCCGGGCAGGACGAGGTAGCATGCAGCCAACTCATTTTTGGTTCAAACATTAAGCTGTTGCAAGTTCTGGGCAGCATAATCGCCGTCAGTGGAGCAATCAGGAAAAGCAATCTACAGAACCCAACCGAGGTATGGAAACCGATGCAATGCCTGGGAAATGAGAGCCGGACCTTTTTCTCTGGTGCAGTACACAATAATTGTGAGCTTTCTCACTGTCCTGCGATGACCCCACCTCCTGTCACTGCCCACTACCCCACTTCCACCACGGTCAGTTTGTCTCGAGAAAGGCTCTCTGATCCCAAACCCTCCTCGTTTCCATCCAGCTTTTCCCAGGCTGCTTTCCTATTTTTTTGAAAATGAGCTGGGGAAGCAGCTATTTTTTTGTTTAATAGCTACCAGCTGCTTGCAATTCCTGCTGTCACTCACTGCAATGGGCAGCCACGTACACTAGGAGACTATACAGCACTCACCGAGTCGATGATGCCTTGGAGCGCCTCGAAACCGTCATTCACCGGGAAAACATGGTCTTTACTGTCTGCAATTCGAGCCAGCTACAACCAGGGAGGTGGATGGGACAGGGAGGGGAGGGCAATTAGGGTGGGGATAGGAGGTCAGGGGCAGGGGAGGCAAAGAAATTATTTCATTATTTACACCATTGTTTTGCAACTATTAAATCAATATTAACAGATCGATATTAAATATATTGTAATATCATACATAATTGTATCATTATCTCACGATTATCATTGAATAAATAAGGGCAGCACGGTGGCTCAGTGGTTAGCGCTGCCAGGGACCCAGGTTCGATTCCAGCCTTGGGGCAACTGAGATTAGCCATGGGAAAGAGATAGTAGGAACTGCAGATGCTGGAGAATCTGAGATAACAAGGTGCAGAGCTGGATGAACACAGCAGGCCAAGCAGCATCAGAGGAGCAGGAAGGCTGACATTTTGGGCCTAGACCCTTCTTCAGGGTTACAAGGATAGGGTGGGATGCTCTTTGTGGGGTCAGCATGAACCCAATAGGCCAAATGGTCTGCTTCCACACTGTAGGGGTTTGACAAAATATTGCACAAAGAACCATAGGCTGTTTCCCACCACCAACTCCTTTATCCAAGGCTGCTTCCAGAGGTCAAGATGGTTCAAGTCTGGAGGCTTTGACAGCAATGTCAGTTCAATTCCACATTCACCTTCTCTCAGTTAGAACTGTGAAACTATCGCTGTTTCACAGCATACCTTAGCGACTCCAGAAATAGGGAAGGTGGGTTCCGAGGCCCACGCCGCTCCCTCTTGCCAGACACTGGCAGGAGTTCTTCTGCCTTCGCAAATGTTTTGTTTCTCATTTTCGATCTGAAGAGCTGAGGCGAGCAGCGAAGACGGGGGAAATGGTGCCTCCAATGTCAGGCGCTGAGCTTCAGGAATATCATCCATGTTGTCCTGTAGGAATGGGTCGGACTGGGCTTGTTTCCACAGGAGTTACAAAGATGGGTGGGTGACCTGATTGCACTGCGTGCGATCCTGAGTCGTCCACACACAGTGGGCATGCTCGCGATGTTTCCTCATGGCTTTTCATTCCCTTGTGGTATGTGGGCATCACTGGCTGGGCCACTATTCATTGTCTGTCCCTAGTTGCCCCTTGAGAAGGTGGGGTTGAGCTGCCTTCTCGAACCGCTGCAGTGCCTGTGCTGTGGGTTGACCCACAATGCCATTAGGGAGGGAATTCCAGGATTTTGACCCAGCCATACTGAAGGAACGGCAATATATTTCCAAGTCAGGATGGTGAGTGGCTTGGAGGGGAACTTGCAGGGGGGTGGTGTTCCCATGTACCTGCTGCCCTTGTCCTTCCAGATGGAAATGGTCGTGGATTTGGAAGGTGCTGTCTGAGGATCTTTGGTGAATTTCTGAACTGCATCTTGTAGATAATGTACACTGCTGCTACTTGTCTGTCAGTCAGAATTGGGAGCTATGGCAGTAAAATTTAGGGGTTGCGCTTACAGGACGGAGATGAGGAGTATTTTTTTCTCCATCTGCAACGTTGGGACTCTCTGCCTCTGAAAGGGGGTGGATGCAGGGCCATTGAATATTTTTAAGGCAGAGTTAGGAAGAATCTGATGTGGCAGGGGAGTGAGAGGAAATTAGATGGGAATCTGGAATTCAAATCGCAAACAGACCAGCTGGGATTTTACTGACCAGCACAGCGAGTAATTGGGGGGAGGGGGTGTGGGTCGACCTCTGCCCCTAATTGGATGGGTCATAAAGAGAGGAAGATTCTCGAGGTTGTGTGTTTTGACCCCAAACTCAGGGCATTAGCTGTCCACAGCACTGTGCCTCTCTCCTCTTTGTGCACTTCTCTCTCAAATAAACAGTCTACGTGGCTTTGTCAAGGGGAGGTCACGTCCCACAAATGTAATGGAGTTCTTTGACAAGGTCTCACAGACAGTGGATGAGGCTAGTGCTGTGGATGTTGTTTATAGGGACTTTCAGGAAGCATTTGACAGGGTGCCCACGTGGCAGGTTGGTTAGCAAATTAGAAAACTTTGGGATTGATGGGTCCTTGGTAGCAGGGATTGGAAGTTGGCTAAAAGGTAGGAAACAGATGGTAGGTGTAGATGGACATTTCTCAGACTCGAGACGAGCTGAAAGTGGTGATCCCCGGGATTGGTGTTGGCACCCTTTTTTTCTGCTTTATATAAACAATTTGGAGATGGGTGTTGAGGGCAAAATCACTAATATTTCAGTTGATCCTAAGCTAGGGAGAAAAATGAATTGTCAGGATGACACTGACGACTTCAGAGGGACATTCAGAGGCTCAGACACCTGGCAGAGGAATTTCGATGCAGAGAAATGTGAGGTAATGCATTTGGGTAGAAGAAACTTGGACAGAGAATACAGGCTCAGTGGTACAACACTGAGGGGAGTACAGGAGCTTGGGGTTCACATGCATAATTCCCCAAAGGTGGCCAGGCAAGTTGGAACAGTTGTTAAGAAGGCTGATAGGATCCTTGTGTTTATAAATAGAAGCATAGAATATAAAAGGAAGGAAGTGATGCTGGAACCTCTACACATCATTGGTCAGACCACATTTGGAGTGTTGTGTTCAGTTCTGAGCACCTTATTTAATGAAGGATGATTCCCAATTTTTAATGAGCGATTCCTGGTTGTAGATTCTTCCATGGAAAGAAACACCCTCTCCACATCGATCATGTCAAGACCCCGCAAAATTTTATCTGTTTCAACCAAGCTGCCCATTACTTATTTTAAATTGCAGCCTGTCTGATTTTTCCACAGAAAACCATGCTCTCATCCCAAACTGATAAATCTTCTCCAAATTTACATCTTCATCAGAGAATGCATCTGTTCTGTGTATTCTACCTATTAACATCATTTGCCAATTCACTACAGCCAGCTCTGTTCTCGTTCCCACATACTTACCATTTTGAAAGTTTTTTTAAAAAGTCTTGGACCCACTCCTCTCTCCATCGAATCGAAGGCAAAATTCAAACAAATTGTGATTGCTGCTACCTAAGGGTGCTTTCTCTCTGAGGTCATGAATTAATCCTATTTCATTGCTCAATCCCAGGTCTCGTGCCACCTGCTAACCAGTCGGCTCCAGAACACGTTCTTATTAGAAACTGCCCCAAAACATTCCAGAAACTCCTCATCTTCATCCATTCATCTGTGCCCTTCTGACCTTTCTGACCTTTCCAGTCTGTAAGCAGATTGAAATCTGCCATAGTTATTTCTGCATCCTCTGATTATTTCTACTCCATCCTACGAAATGGTTACTGTTCAGGTCTCTGTACAACACTCCCACGAGTGACTCTGTGCCATTGATTTACCACAACACAAACTGTTTCCACAGGCTAGTTTCCTGAACTTAGGTCATTCTTCTTTCTTGTGCGAACACAGCCACCCTCCACCATTTTCCTATCCTCCCTAAATGTCACTGTCATGGCTCCCAGATTATACTCATTCATTACATTTCAACTTTCAGGTCATCTAGTTTGTTTCAAATGCTGTGTTTATTCAGATACAGAGTCCTCAGTTTAATCCTTTGATTCTTCTAGTATCCTCTAGACCTATCTTTTGACTGACTCTCTTGATCTGTATTCCTGTCCCTCGGTTGAAAAGCTGAAAGGAAATTGCAGTGACTGGAACGAAATGGACCTCATTGACAATGCGATCCGTGACTGGATTTGTTAACCTGGGCCAATCAGGGAGCCCTGGCTGACAGATATAAAATGTCAGAGAGTTTCCTGACTTCGGGGACTGACTCGAAGCCACTGGCTGGTGCACAAGTAAATAAAGGGTGTCTTGGCCCCTGGGCAGTTATTTCAGAGAATTTATGTTATGAAATGAAAAGTTACGTTGCCCGAGGAGAGTCAGATCGTCGCGTTTTCTGAGGTTTGATGTTGATCTAATCACTAAGGAAGCAATTTGCACAGGTAGTTCCAGAAATGAGAAACTTCAGCGATGTGGATAGATTGAAGAGATTGGGACTGTTCTCCCTGGAGACAGGAAAGCTGAGAGGGAAATCCGATCAAGGTATTCAAACAGGAGCGGGCTGCTCAGAGGAGACGGGGAGACGCTGTTCCCACTCGGAAAAGGAACAAGAATGAGAAGGGGTTAAAATTGTATCAGAGATAGTAGGAACTGCAGATGCTGAAGAATCTGAGATAACAAGGTGTAGAGCTGGATGAACACAGCAGGCCAAGCAGCATCATAGGAG